TGTATTAGAAGCCGCATCCCTAATATAAGTCGCACCCATTCTTTTTGAACAGTTTAGAACCAAAAATTCATCATTTCTCATATGTGTAGATGCTCTAATAGAAGCCGCAGCCCCTCTGTTGCATTGTACCATTTTAATAGAAGCCGCGGTTTCTAATACAGATTTTACAGTACTTTTGAATTTAGAATATCAAAGTACCTATTCTTAAGAAATTTCAGAACATAAGTGATATGTTTTAAAAATGGCAACAACATAATGCCCAAGCTTTTGGGAAAAGAAATAAAACATCAGCATGGAGTTCTGAGTATATCTTTTTATGGGTTTCAAGTATTGAGTGTCATCAGGTGAGACATTTTGTCTTAAAAGTTGCACTCTTAGAATATTTCTATAGTTGTATTGGGGTCTGGGGATATTACGTGGAATATTTAATGGTCTGAATTTTTGGGAATTGAACATATGTGTATAAAATATCAAATTTTCAATACGAATAATGATTATTTGTGGCAAATATAAATGATTTTGATTAGAATTGAATATTTCTATGAAGACTTTTGGTCTAAATAATATCCCTTCATGACTAGGTCATGTGTTTATTTAACTATATTGCTTTATTTTCTCTAAAGTGGCAATAGCTTTGATTTTGAAAATGTTTTTGTTTGATATTACCACATAAAGATAACCAAATCTTAGCTTCTTTAGATGGCAATATATTTGATGTTTTGTCCAACTCCCCATTGAGTTGTCAACTTGTACTATAATTCCATAGTTTCGCTTGACGAAATTAAATTTGTTTCCACTTACAAGTGATTTAGTGCACAACATTGGTATATAGCGTATATATTATGATTTCAGTGTCCACATTTCAGCAATGGCCGTTATAAATTGACATTGATAACACAGGAATGTTTTATTAAAAATAAAAATCAGCTAATCAGTTACAGCTATTGTCACTTTAAAGTGATATTAAAACTGTGCTTTTAAATAGTCATTAATAATTCCTCTGATTAGAAAATCTGCCTCTTGTCATTTTATACATGGACATACTCTATATTGAAAAAATGAAGGATTGCATTTTAAGTTTACGTACAATAAATGTTGTGCTTTTAATAAAATAAATAAGACAAAATACTTGAAATGATTGTGTTTAATTTAATTATATCGTACTTCCTTTCCTTTGACAAGTCTAAACTCATTGTAATTTGTCTGACACAGGAATACTTGTCTCTTCATAAGTGTAGTAAATATTGATTCATTATTTAGATTTTTAAAATTCCAATCCACTACATGTATTTATTCTTGTGTAAGTTTCTTTTCTATATTGTTTGTACATTGTACATTATGTTAAAAGGAATTTGCTCTATCTGTTATGTCAAGTGTCACACATAGACTGCTTTTTTTTTGGATTTTTATGTCTTTCTAGTTACCGGTATATTATTTATTTGTGAAAGCAAGCCAAATTCTTTGTATACATGTAGATGTATGAAAATATGTATTATTGTATTTTCTTTTAGGCATGGTGATTGGTGGAAAGCTTTTGTCAGTGTGTTTTTCTGATTTGGGCATGGTGCAATCTGGTACAATCTCCTACATAGCGGCATTGCTAATCATAGCATTTTGCAATAACCATATTTTGATGTTTATTGGTGAGTAAAGTTTTGTCATTTTTCATATCGCATCGCAATTATCTAATCAAATAATGAGTCGTACCGGTCACTGGTAGCATAGTGGTTGTTGCATCAGACTCATGATCGGTATACCCAAGGTCAAATCCTACCTTAGGCTTAGGGTCAACCCCTACCCTGGGTGAGTGTACCACAGACTCAATGGGAAGGCCAATTCTACCGGCCGAGATTCATTCACTAACGAATGCGACTTTGGCGGAACCTTGGTTAAGGTCTGCAAGTGCTTGTGTTTGACCGAGCCAGGTTGACACCAGAATAGTACATTAAAATTGCCATTTGATAGAGAGATGGCCACATAGCCCTGTCATGTAGTCCCAAACATGAATATGACTTCTGTGGCAAAATGAACTATGTGTCAGCACTAGCACTTGCACTTACAAACAAATAAAAAATTCAGGAGAGACAACAGTGACACTCAATGTCCAGAACTGTCGCCTGACACACACAAAAAAAAATGGGTCGCACTGCAACGTATTTGATATACCTAGGTCCCGTGAGATGTACATGTAAAATATAGTATTATACATAGAATATGAATACCAGCTCAAACTGTGGTAGTTTAAGCCTTTTACCACTGCGTCGCATTGTTTGACCTTTGATATGGACAATTTTATCGGTGAACTCTTTCACCATCATTATTAATAGTCCTGACCAAAAAAATAAATAAATGGCCGATATTTGTATTGACATATTACTGGTATTGAGTGAAATAGATTTCATAGTGGCAAAAATATCAGGCAGCAATTTTGACTAACAAAATTTTGGAGATCTAATAAATGTAAAAGTGTTTTCTCTAAGTTCATGAACACTGCATAAAATAATATTTATGGAGGCTCTGAACACTATAAAATCAAGACTCGGGCTTCTGTGCCTCTATTCTAGCTGGTTTTGAAACTTCTTACATCACATCTTGTGCATCTTGATTTCTGTTTTTTCCTACAGCTGCAATTGCTGGTGCACTTAGCTTTCTTCCAATCCCAGTACTAAGAGCAAGATGTTCAAAATTGGTCACGGAATCTGAGCAAGGTACATAAAAAACATCAGTTTTACTTACATTTATCTTTTTATTA